TGTGCTGGTCAACCAAAAGTTCACAACATCACGAAATAAAGTCCGGTGATGGCGATTTCCTTATTCACAAGCGTCACTAGGAGAGTAAAGGTGCAATCGTTTTCAAGTATGAATATTCATTGTGCAGTTTTATAAGTGGAACTGACGGGCTCTGATGTCTAAAAAAGCAATTACAGACCCTGTCAACACATGAAGAAACAGCTGTATGCCAGTCATCATCTATTGCAATATTAATCCAATGGGCAGCTTATCTGAGCTGCTAAATCAAAGTCAGACACATCAGGTGTCCTTAGCATCATGTCTGATTACCAATACACCGTTTGTGTTGTCAATATCGTGTTAGTGAAACCAATTCCAAGTGTCCTGTCGGAAGCAATTATGCTTAAAAACAACCATTTAATTTGCCTTATAACCACAAGGGATTACCCATCAAATGCAATTTGACTTCTTGCGATGTTTCACTGTTCCAAAATAATGAAGGAATACATGCCTTGCTCGTAATGCAAAGGATGTTATTGCAAAACGTGCTGCATACATTTATTTCTGGGTGTAACAGAAAGATTGTTCTTGCATATTAATTCTTACCACTGAGCTTCATATTCAACATGCTAATGTTGTGTACTCTTATTCAAACATTAAGCAAACTGTCATACAGTTCTGCAGCGTGTTACATTATGTATGAATGGCAAACTAGCACTTAACAAATGATGAGCACCAATGTGAAGGCTGGTTAGGTTCTTATTACATATCTTTCAAGTTTCATCAATAAGGCTTGTACTAGGCTTCTGCTAGCTCTCAACAAGCTGTGTTTCACTAACAGAGCAGGAATGCAGGACCTTCCAGCCGTGTGTTCAACATTAAACATGCCTGTATGGGGGAAAGGACAGAGAGAAAGATGTGATTCATTACTTTTAACCTCCTGGTTGACCCTCACATTCTCCTAGATGCTTGCCTTCCGTAATTACATATTTATTGTTTTTAGGTTTTAAGTGAGTTAGGATTCAGCAAGCAGCGATTTTCAATTTTTGTCTCAAGGTTTTTCAAATTGAAGCTTTTTCATATTGCACACGAGACTTGTGAACTGCTCTGTGCGACTCCAGGAATTAAATCATGCGTTCTGTGACCAAAATGATGAATACAAGCTGAACCATTAATGTCCGCAAAAGTTTCTTTTCAAGCAGTCACCTATGTATACCATATATCATTTCAGATCTGAGGTAAGATGTAATGGTGTCCTTTCGTCTTTTTTTGAATGAAATGTTTAGAAGATGCTGTTATTAAATGGCATTATACACCTGCTATGTCAGTACTGACACAACACTATATCGTCATGCAGCCACACACATGATCCAGCATGCTGGTATCTTTTTAAAACCCACTTTGACACAAAGCCCTCAAGGTGGATAAGTCTAATATTACAGTTTCCATCAAAAGTGTCATAATTTTATGCTGAGCAGGCAGAATGTTCTCATTGTAGAGACGGAAACGAGGCGTTTATCATACTACCAGGGTAAAAGACGTGGGCATTTTCAAACAAGTAACCAAGCATCTCGCTCTGTTTCTGCAGTCAGGAAATAGAGCTGTTCACTCTCAGGGTGCTGTCATTGTCTTCATCTACGACATGTGGCATGCTGTCGCATCACTCGGGCTTATATAATAAATTGTCGAATAAAGGGCATTTGTCTGGGTCATCCTCCGAGCCATTTTAATTTATGGCTGCCAGACTGGAGACAGTTTCATTACACAAAAGGAATTGGTCCAATCAAGGATCTCGTTCCAAGCAATGACAAGGATGGGAAGTAATCAATTTCTATAAACCATGCAGCAGTCCAGCAGATTTGTATCACGGCAAAGACAGGCCTGTGGAGTATGCATTTGTTTATCATTCTAATTACTTCTACATGTTGTCTCTCTGCATTTATTTACAACTGTGTGTGGTGTGAAAGCGTTGGTATTTTAGACCATTGCTTTCACATTTTTTTTTCAAAACGTATCGAAGCCTTGTAGGGGGCCTTCTTCATGAGTTGGCCCAGCAGGGAACACATGCAACAAGGGAACAAGAAGAGTCTCTTAGTAAATGACAGCAGCAGGCTTGCACCAAAGTGATTATGGGGTGGCTATTCAGTGTTATCTAGTCTTGAGTGAGCGCATGTCTGAAACGGTTTTCAAAAGAGAAGACAGCAGTTCTAGGGGACAGACATGCTCCTGCCAGCTGGTTGACCTCTGTATGAAATTATTGTGCTGGGAGCTGGAGAGGTGCCACATTGGACTGGGGTATTATCCACAGACAGCAGTGCAGCAGCTGGAGTTCTGGATGGCACTGTACCCATGTGGCACAAACACTCCTTACTACTGGGCACCACGATGAGCCACTCTGAATGCGGTGAAGATGGCTGGTAGCATGCCCACGCTCTCTCTTGCTCTTATTGGTCTATGGCACTGTTCAAAAAGTAAATGTAAAATAAGAGGGGCAGGGTGGCGCCGTGATGAGCATTGCTGCCTTGCAGCACTGAGGCCCTGCGTTCAGATCCCGTGGTACTGTCTGCGTGGAGTTTGCATGTTATCCCCGTGCTTGTGTGGGTTTCCTCCGGGTGATCCGGTTTCCTCCCGCAGTCCACAAACAGAAGGGTAGGTCAAATGGGTTCTGGGAAAATTGGCCCAGTTGTGAGTATGTGTTTGTGTCCATGTGTCTGCCCTGCAATGGACTGGCGTCCCGTCCAGGGTGTACCCTGTCTTGTGCCCGTTGCCTGCCGGGATAAGATCCAGCTCCCCCCCCCCCGCGACCCCGACTTGGAGGAAGTTGTCAGGAATGGGATGGATGGAAGGTTGACGGACCTGGCCGTCTTTGTTTTCCCAACCTGAAACAATCCACCATTTTCAAGCAGTTGTTGTGCCGTGTCATCTACTCATCCAAACATGGGAGAAGCTGAATAAACATATCAAATGAATCTGCACCAGATGCCATTGGAATTAGTTTACTCCTAGGAACTCTCAAACCTGCTTTGCTTTTAATTATTGCTGAAATATATATTTTGCTTGCAAATTTCCACAAGTACCAGAACTCCAATTAGGGGGGCCCACATCGCCAGCTGCAGATGCCGTAGAACTGTTGGGGACCCGTGCAGCAGCTGTGGAGAGGAGGGGGCAGTGAGGGTGGCAGGGAAGGGAGACGGGTAGAGGGCAGACAGGGAGGGCATGTCTGTGACTCCTGGCAGAGGAAGAAAACGAGTCGGCCATGAAGGAGGGCACTCCGCCACCTGCAGCTTTCTCCTAGAACAAAGAGGCAGTGTACTAAAAGGGCAGACCACGTATACTTCCCAAATTACATTCCTTTATAAAAATGGACAAAAAAAGATTTTTTTTTTTCAGCTGCTAGTTTATTAATGGAAATCTAACAGAAGGGAGCATATCTCAAGTGGCTCATTTCTTAAGGCAAACATTGAGCAAACTGTCTGGGATGTAAAATGAGCCCGGTATGATGGGGGCTGTCATCTGAATTAATATCACACATGAAGCGAAGCGCGACAACATGAATTACTGCGATGCAAATTTAACAGCTTGTCACATGTGTTTTGCTGAATTGGCATCCAGCGTTCGCTGGGGGTGACAGGCATACAGAATTGGGCCTGACTGCAGGTACATTTCTGATTTGTTCAACAACGTCAAGCTGCTTTGTGCATCTGGCAGGTGAAGTGATGCAGAAATGACAGCAAAGGCCAAGCATGTTTTCCTTTGTTGCGTATTTTGGGGTTGTGTTGATGTCGGGCATGCTGCTTTTTCGTTGGCCATTCGAAAATGTCCCCCTGGATGGGACTGACCCCCCAGCTTGGCTGTGGTTTTGAATAACCTTTTACAGCCTTGTAAAACACCCCAGTGAACACACAGCTGCAGCTGGGATAGAGCAGACCGGCACTGGGAAGGTCACAGCATGGATCAATGCTTGGGATATGTTTGATTTTTTTCCCCTCCATCCTTTGTGCTCAGAAAGAGTCCCAAGAAACCCCACTAGAGCAGTACAGCCATCGTCATAGGTGAACTTTCAGGACATATTGTGCAAGCGGTGTTCTGCTTTGTCCTCTTGTCTCCTTCATTATTTTTGCTGTTACTCTGAAAGAGTTAGTTTTGCTATCTTAGATTTAGGGGGAGAAGAATTGTATTTTGATTTAGCAGAACATGAACCACAGCACTGGAAGCACCAGATGCAACAACCTGTCACTTTTTAAAACACACTTTGCTCTTTTCGACATCCTGCAAATGGAAATACACCTTCACGTTGGAATCAAGAATGAGAATTTCAGTGATTTTGTGCTTTTTATTTTCTTTTTAGTCCTGATCTCCCTTTGCGCATTTAAGTCCCTTGTGACTACCTGTGCAATTATGAAATGGATGCACTTCAGAAGATGTTTATAATTGCTAACCCTAATTACTCCAGTCTGAAGCATTTACTAAAAATAATAGGCAAACAGTTTTGTGCGACTGGAATAGTAGCCAAGTTATGTAATCTGGTGCATCAAAGCGTGTGCTTCATTGAACATAGTAATTCCCTTGATGACGAAGCCACACAGTTTCATAGGTGTGCTGGTATTGTTGAGTATTGTAGCATTGCTAACATCTACAGTGCAGTGAGCGTGGGTGTATATTCATCATTGCAGAGGGATTGTTTCTGTTACAGGGAGCTGCCATTGCATATCGTGCCTGGGAGCTACAAATTATTATTTATTTGACAGGGACACCATAGAATTTGTTTAACATTGGTGGCAGGTCAGAAGGCACGGAGTGTTGATGTTTCAGCTGTAAGCCATCTGTTGTCGCAAAGCTTGTCTGCAACTCTTTATGAGCTGAGAAGAAATCGGAGAGCCCACACTAGCACTGGGAAGAACATGCAAACTCCACACAGAGGCTCCCACGGATAGAATGTAGACCAGGCACTTGTAGCTGCCTGGCACTGCGTCACCCCCACACCCCCCACCCTCTGGGTGACGTAATCTCACTGTTGGCAGGTGCTGAACGTCAGCCTGTCCGAGGGGGAGACCGTGACGCTGGAGGACCTGGGAGGGCGGGAGCCCTCTGTCCTGGCCAACGAGTCCATCCTGACGAAGGGGTTGGTGGTCCGCAGCTGGAGCAACCAAATAGCCATCCGCTTCCAGAGTGAGCAGCAGCCTCGGCCGGGATCCTTCCTCCTGCGATACCAAGGTAAGGATGTCCCTCCTCATCCTCTTCCCGGGTCTGCCAGCCAGACACTGTTTTCCCCACTCGATTCCTTCCAAGAGATTCCAAATCATTGCACTACCTGTCAATGCAGTTCAGCAGCTTCCAATCTGGGATTAGATTTAGGGTGTCAGCAGTGGGATTAGGGTTATATTTAGGGCCGTGTTCCATGTAGAGATCTGTGGATGCGTCAGAAATAGCCATGCCTCCTGTAGTATCCACAGACAAACCTTCCTATGGACCAGACCTTGACCATTAAGTGTGCACTCTAGAGGTGCAGCGGATATTTGTTTCTAAGAGAACAGCCCTCTCCTCGGTCTTTTTCACTCAGCCTCTTTATCGAGACAAAAAGCATGTTGCTCTACAAGGCTGCAGCTGATTATCAAATTATTTAGACCCGGTTATTGGAACTTTTGTTTCGGCTAATCAACTTTTACAGTAAGGCAAATGAAAACAGCAGCAAAATGCGCGGATGTCGGGCCTGTTATTTCCCATTACGAGGAGATTTTCCGAGGGGTAATGGGGAAAAAAAAAATGACTCAGCGCAAAGCCAGATTCTTTTGTTTCTGTTAACTAATGAACTATGACAGGCTTGTAGCGGAGTAATACAATCTTACACACCACTAATGTGCCTATTGAATAAGAAAGCAATTTCTCTCTCCGTAGCTTACTGCGTAGGAGGTAATCAGTTGTGCGTGATAGGCGATATGCTTGGGTTTCATGGGTTAATGTGTGAGCCTTTCATCCCTCTATTAACTGCATTGCAATCATCTGCCAAGACCCCAGCTTTACAAGACAGATAATGACTTTCTGTTTCTTTACAAAACTTCCAATTACTTCACACTGTGGCCCCCTCCACAGCAGTAAAATATAATATTCTCTGAGCGGCGCACCACGCCGGCTTGTGCAGCCGGAATGCCTAATGTCAAACCGGATTCGATTTTCCCTGTGTCAGACAGACGAAAATAGAGCGAAACAATGTTTCTTTTGCCGGGAAAAGAAAGGGGGGAAATAAAAGGCATGCTTTCCGAAGCTTTGCCCGAACGGTGACACGACATATATTAATATTCAAGGAGATTCCAGTTGCGGAGCAAGTTAGGCCATCGGGGTCCAGCAAGAGAGAATATCAGCTCATGCCGTATGTATGAGGACCTTATTATGTACAACTCAGCTGAACTCAGTGCTGGAAGATTTTTAACAACCTGGGGAGTGGGGACTGACTCCATGCACATACAGTCCTTGTTTTCATGGAGTGCAGGTCCTGTGTTTTGACGGATTTGACGGACCCCTGCACTCACTTTGAGCCAAGTGGTTGCTTGG